AATGTCTTTTTCGTGCTCAAGTTTGGATAGCAATCACGTGCGAATATCTGATTCCTGAGAAGATTGAAGTCCAGCGACAAAAATGAGGCACTTGAACTGATCTTCTGTAAGCGATTGCAATTGGAATTTCTCACATTTGCGATTAACGATACCGGCAAAAGTAACGTAATCGTCGGCCTCACGCTTGGCCAACTTGAGACAGTTGTATCGGACATTAAAAATTGAATGTTGGTCACCAAAAATTTCGCGAAGTTGGTCCACCGTCTGCGCAAAAGTCAAATCTTTTGGATGTTGTGGAAGGATAAAGTTGGTGAACCGGTCGTGTTCGAGGGTTCCAAGTTTCCGTACCAAGACACGGGATTTCCACGCATCATCTTTGCCGGTGAACTCATTCAAGAATGTATCCTCCCAACGGCTGTACCACGAATCAAAGGTGAGACCAGATGCTGGCTCATAGTGAAATTCAGTTATAGTTGCAGCAATGGAATCCGCAAAGGATAGTGAACTACCACTTTGAGATGAAACTGAAGTTTGGAGATTGATGACTTGAGTGAGAGACTGGATAAGTCGCAATTGAGATTGTTCAAATTACGCTTGTTGTTGTTGAAGGATTGATTTCAAATCCTCAGCTGAAATTGACATTCTTGGGTTCGTGAAGGGCTCCCGTCGCCAGTGTTATGTTCTCTACTAATCAGTCAATCAACCTTGTCAGTTACACACGAAATTGAGAAGACAAAAAACCTTGAGGAAATTATACTGCAGCAACTGAACAGCCAATATCGAGATTCGAAGAATCAAGAATGGATGGAACAAAACAATATCTTCGTTAGGAGTGCCTCCTAACAGGTTAGAAATCCCATGAGTCAAGGCACGACACCTACAGAGATCAAGACAGCTCCGGCGCCAACTTACTAGCCTGAAGGTCACTGGTTCGAACGCAACCACTGCATCTTGACTACCCTTGTCCAGGCTAGGGCAACCTGGCAGAATCTCACTCGTGCTTCCCTCGGGTAGCACGGCAGCTTGGCCCCGAAATGCTGTCGCAGCTGAACGCTTTTTATTACAACACCTATAACGGTAACAAGCACTCTTCCACTTCCCAAACAGATTAGCTGACTACAATCTGTCTGTGGTTGGATGCGGCGCTTACGTTGAGTAAAGTTCTTGCAAAATGTGCTTGATCAGCCCCGATGACGACGTCTTGTTCTAACATGATACTGATATATGTTTATCTCCATGCTCTTCGAATCTTTAGCCACCTACAATCCCATCGACCTTTTCTTCTGGATACACAGGGCTTTTGTAATTAATCTTCATTTCTTTCTTTTCATTATTTACTAGGTTACTCTTTTCCCACAGTTGTCTTGCAGATATGCCCCAACATATCTGTGCCGTCCGTGCTGAAGACGATGATTATCTCACTTTAAAAACCTGCTTTATCTGTCGACTTTATTTTCAGTGTCTACCGACTATCGCTCTATCTGTATATAGCACCTGATAATCATATGCTTCTCTGTTTATTCGTCTCTCAGGCCGCTCATTCAGGTCTACATTTCCTTTACTGTTTGCTCCATATAGACCCGATCACATTTGTGACCCTTGATCTGGCAGAGGGGTATTAAAGAAATCACGAAACGTTTGGGCGCTGTCGGTGCTACTCGCCTTCCAGGATGGGGACCGCGTGATCCTCACTGCGCCTGGTTGGAGACGCTGCAAGATATTCCTGCTAACTGATAACACTGGCAATCTTGTCATTTTCTATCCAGATCGCTTAATGTGTGTTTGGAGGTTTAGGCAAGGCTTTCAAGTAAATCATGGTTGTACGGCAGTGAATCATCGGTGTTGAACACCGACATTACGTTGTCGATGATGATGATGATGATCACGTGTTACAATGGACTTGTTGTACGACAGGACTTTCAGACTTATCAACAAACCGGCTAGTTGTCACACTCACTTTGAACCTTCTATTTCGACGCTATCGTTCTAATTAACCCGTAGCCGGTCAATGGCTGCGCACTGTTCGAATTATTCCGCTCTATGTATGCTGTATTCATTACATCGTCAACAAATCATGTGGTTTTCTAAACAAACGGACTATCGCTAATCGTCTCATTGGATTACTAAATGTCTGTGTCCAAGTGGGCCGCACCGCCGGTCTGCTGTTTCCATTATAAATGTTCTGTTTTCTAGGCTACTACAGTTCTGTTTTCATTTTGCATTTCAAATCAACCTGTGCTGAAAACTTGGAAGCACCTTTCAGTTGAGGAGGAAGCTTCAAGCACTTGCATTGTTGACATTGGGAAAGAAATGCTAAATGGACATATGTTTTCAACCGTTCACCTTGCTAGTATAAATTGTGCGCCGAACTGAAATCAACGAAAGTGGGCAATCATGTAGACGTGTGCGACCTGCGTGCTCGTCATCTCAGCAGTTATCCACCGCGACAAATTAATTGCCTGAATGTTGTAAAGGGCATGAATTTTTGAGTGTGTTGGGCTTAAATGGGAGGTGAACGACACTAAGCTTTTCAGTGGGCGGGATTAGGCAATTTTCCCATGTACAAATAGCGGACATGGAAAGGCGACTGACGTCAACCTTAACAGTCGCAATATTGCGTTGTCTGACTCGCTTCTGTGTGCTTTGAAAACGGTAAAAAATTATGAATCTCGATTAGCCAGGTAATCCAAGATAGAAATATGGAGGTGACAACCAACTCTAAGGAATAGTCATTTCGGGTCAAGTTCTTTTAAACGTATACTAATTAACGTGATTGACGTCTCTCTAACATATGAACAACCACAAGAAAATACTTTCAACTCCTATTCATTTTTCAGTATTTCTGCATTGGCGGTGAATGGTCTCTAGCACGAGACTACTTTGAACGAGAGAAAGCATAGATTCCTGATTGTCACTACTCCGCCTGTGGATTGAGGTGTATCACACCGACTTTAGCGAGCAGGTTGAATTAATTCAGGCGGTCATTGAGGCGGATTGAGCGTAGGAACGATCGGGTTCACTGAGAGTTCTGTTCCATGGATTTTGGGTAATTCCATTCGAACGTCTGACCGCTAGTTTCAAGCTACCAATCGGATGCGTCACCTAAGTTTTTTCAAACACAGTTGTAGTTCAGTTCCTACAGCTCGATCCTTTTTGGTGCAATCTTGTGTAGAGCCAGTCTTGTGTAACCTCTTCTCCTGATCTGCAAATGAATAAACTCGGGTTGTTTCTGAGTTATTTCACTTCATCCTAATGCGAGATGGCTCAAGTGGTTAGGGCGCAAATTTACTGACCGGAAGGTCCGTGGTTCGAACCTATCCTCTGCCCCTCGACTTCCCCTGTCTACGTTTGGGCAACCTAGCGGCCCAGGTTGGGCAACCCAGCCCTCGTGCTTCCTTCTGGTGGCATAGAAGTTAGGCACCGAGACGTTGTGCTACAGCTGGACGATCGTAATGCTTACTACTGATCGTTCCTGCGTGCCTCACTTGAAGTCTCGTCTTAACACAGTTCATGGTAGTTGAAAATCTCTACCCGAATAAGGATTATGGAGCTGAACGGATGGATGAATTGTTCAGATTAATTTCTAGCCTATTGGTTCATAAACAGAGATGGATGGACGCACTGGCGTTGATTGACCTCTGAGCCTGGGCAAACAGGTGCGTGTATCGCTGATCTAGGGGCAGTAGACGAAATTCCGCGTCCAGTATAATGCTGAGACTGATGTATTGTCAAACCTTTCGCATTCTATTCAGGACTTTATTTTGAGCTCCACTGCAATTAAATGGAATATTTCTGTTCCATCTTTGGAAGGAAATCTTTAAGGCACTCCGTGTAAGTTACCTCCAATTGGACGCGAACAATATATGTGGATCGTAAAAAGTTGGTACAAACAAGTCCGAGTTATACACATTTGCGAAATTTCTTACCCATTTCATGTACCGTGGGATTCGAATTCCCGTGCAGCGTTTTCGTCTCGCTTGGGTACATGAATCATCCAGCCAGACATGTTTGCATAACTCGCCCTTTCATTCCTTTTCATTTTAGGCTAGCTCTTCGCATACGTTGCTTCGTGACTGGTTAGATGTTGTGTCCACGCGACGAGGACTGCCCCTCGCTCGACTGCGTCTACAGCCACGTCATCCACTGGTTGATCGTATGATGGATGATTGGCTTGGGTCATACCGATCACTGGCCAAACTATCGTCTACACACCCTGTTTCGGCGACTGGTTTTCCAGGTATCCAATCACGTCAGAGTTCCGAAAGCTCTGCTTCCAGCACCTCTTCCTCTACGTCGTCGTCTGTTTCTTCCTTGTCTGCCGCGTCTGAAAACTGTGATAGATCTAACCCCTTTGATCCGGACAACAGTCAGCATAGTCAGAGTACTTGAATAGCCCGGAACAGCATTTGCACACACTGACTCGAAATGTTGACAGTTCCTTTTCATATTTATTGGGGGCGTCCCGGCAACCTGAATGGCAGCGTTACTCTCAACATATTTCCCTATCCCTTTACAATATCAACTCGCTAGTAGGCTGTGGTGGTGAGGACCGAGTTGGTTTTATTTCAACTTGAATTTTGTACCTGCCCCTGGCCGCCACACTGCGGTTCGTAATCTTACTGTGTTCTTACTCCATCATGCCACCGTCTTTATGCACTCTGAAACGAACTCTTTCGAACAGCTTGTCATTCTTATCGGTGTGGCAACAAACGCCGTCACCTAGGGATGTGTGGCTTACAGTACAGGGGTGACCGCTATCACTAGATACTTTCAACGTCTAGTTGGTGTTTCTAGGACCCGTCAGCTCACCTGCGTATGTAACTTGCATGTGGATTCATTCGTCTGTGACCTATGCGCATTGTTTTTTCTACCTGGCTGTGGTATGCTGGCGACGCACGCGCCCATTTGAATGCTGTCCATCGCTCTGAGTTTTTGTCTGCTACTGTGTACTATTCTCATTAATCATTTTGGAATTGGCTGGCCCCACTGCTAATGTTTCTTACACTTCGTTTGCAAACCGAAGGACCATTATTTTGATTTGTTTTGTTCTATGTATTCGCGTCTTATGGAACCCTCCTGGGCAGTATTTCATCGTTTACTGCTTCCAGCCAGTTTAACTCCATGTGTGGAGCGGCTAGGGTAATCACGTGCTTGACAGCTGAAGTGCAAATTAAAACAACGTTCCGCGGTAGAACGTGGTTAACATACAACTGTCGTGTAAAACACAGACAGAAGTGGGTGTGCGATAATATCAGATCGCCAATGTTGAGACAGTAGTCTGGATCGCTACTCACATCAAGAGCATGTACGACCAGCATCTAATGCCTCAGCATCGGCACCACTTTGAGTAACTGCGGATTCTTTCGGACGCACCACCTTCAGTGTATTGTATTTCACCCATGGTCCACCTACTCGAGAAGACTTAATTCCCATAATCAGTGGATCAGGGTGAAAGTGGGGCGTCCACAATCTACGGGTTTTACGGTAATTCACCCCTGGTCAAGCTGAAATACGACAGATAGCATTACGACTGTAGAGAAGTAGATTTATGTCTGCAAAAGCATTAGAATTGCAAGCATGTGGTGCGCAAAGCCTCGTGTGGTGTTTCTTATTGTCTCCACTAACTCATTGTATAGTTTCTTAGTGTACGGAGAAAAGGTAAATATCGGAAGACAGTTATGTTTTTCAACCATTTTCAATCACGAAACGTAAGACATCAACAACTAAGTAGAACAAACAGACGGCTACCGGTCACATGATTCAAAGTATGGAAAGTCATGCGTTTTGCCTCAAATCGTTCCGGGAACACGTAGCTGACTGGTGAATTCCTATGAATGGGGCCTGATAGGCTGGCATTAATTTGGGTTCAGGTTAGAAAGCAACAAACCAAACGAGTCACTTGGATGTATTCCGGGTCCTGTTCACAGCAGGGACTTGGTGGCTGAATGTGCTAAATTGCGATTTAACCTTTTGAGGTTAACTGCTTCAAGGACGTGCAGCGGGGTGTTTAGCCACGTACTCCCCCAGGCGTCGGTCTGGTCAGCTTATGCCAGCATCTCCGCAGCAACAAGAAAACTAGTAGGTAACAGATCCGTCTGGCGCACCATACCCACCCTGTCGTGCACCAGTTTTATTTGTGGCTGAAACGGGGTCTAGAACTACCACACTATGGACACGTGAGGCCAAATTGGATTTCTCTCTGGTAGCATCCACGAAGTGGTTACTTTTTAACAAGGCTTGAATGGCGGGCTTCCATTCTGTTACATGAACTCCGGGCTGTTGAGGCCTAATGGCTTTGCGGATTTCGATTAAGCATGTCGGATAGCCACTAGTTAACAGTCTTCAAGTACTCCTCTACTTTCAACTTGTCTGGACGGCACATCGTCCTTGCTCCACTACGCTGCATTTCCAGAAGAACCCGCAAAAGGGTCCAACGTTGATTTACGAAAATCGGGAAGTGTAACAAACCAAACAGGTTAACTGACTTCAGTCCCATACTCAGACGGCACACGTAAGTTTGCGGTTATATAGTTAGGAATATTGCATCTTCGAGACGTTGAATATAAGTGGTAAGAAAACTATCCAGCATTATCCTCGTGGGATATTGTTTGCAATCTGTCTTTCAATCATCCCTAAGATATAATCCAATGTTAAGCAGAGTGGACTGCCCGTTGCATATTCATCGATTTGTTGGTGGACATTTCCCGGTACTCAGGGTAGTACACTTAAGAAACCTATAGAGTTCCATAATAACATTGCCGTTCAAAAAACAACGGCCCTCTGTAAAGGCTTATTAAAAAACAGGCGTTATTAGCAAGAATCTTTTCAGGACTGGCAAAATTATCCTTATCAAACAGACTTTCCCGACGGCTGCCGAATACATGTTCAGTAGCGTACGATACGTGATAAAGCCCACAAAGTTGCTGAAAACTCTTCGACTACCCACAGCCAGTTTCGCCCTTCTTGGGGCTCATCAGGTAGGCACAGTCCTCAGATTTCCGCCAACCTTACGTTAGATTAAAATTGAACAGATCTCGACAAATACGCTCATTTGCACATCAATTTGGTTTCGCCGGGGAGACGCAGCTGAAACCCAGCTGAATCTCTCGGATATTCTTCTGCAGTTGAACGTGCTGTACCAGGCCGCCTCATCTTTCAGTCGGTACGATATTCGCGATGTCGCAGTTCATTGTATAGACGTAACGCGCTGCTTGTAAGGTTGCTGAAAACACCATGACAACCGACGACCGGTTTCGCCCTTCCTGTGCAGCGTATTGGAGTAAAAACGAGCACCAGCGATAAAACCCAAGCGTGCTTATTCGCCACTGCGTGTGCTGTACCAGGCCTCCACATCTTTCAGTCGGTATGATATTCGAGATACCACAATAAGAAAAACGTCATGAAGAGGAGATTCTACCAGGAATCAGATGAGTCTGCCGTGAAAAACGAATCGGTGTGCAAATGAGTGTATTTGCCGTAAGCATGTTTCTTTGCCGATAGTTTGTTGAAGTGTATGTCGATACCTATCAGCAAAACAAACGGCTGATCAAACTGTTTCTCTACTTTAATTAGCGGCTAGTGTCCGACGTCATCTGCTGCTTGCAGTGCAGCCTATTGTAACGTGATCGGCACATGCATATCAGTTGTCACTGTTATATCGATCGAACAGTAAAAACACCATTTGACCCCGTTTTCAGATTTGACACTGTTGAATGCGAGCGGTGAATGAGAGGTAACAGCCCCGGTCGTTGTCGCGCTAATATGATCAGATACAGTACGGTGCCTTTCTACTAGAATTGCAAGACGCTTTATGAGCGAAACTGACCAAACTTATGCTACTTATATATGTGAGCAGACGCTTAGCTGGTCATCTGTGCACCTTCTAACCATTATGCGGGCAACTCTGAATTGCTCCACGTTTTCCACTTCTGTAATTAAAGCGTGAGATCCTGGTGATTTTACACAGATTCATGGTTTGGACACGTACACCATCCAAGTGCATGACTCGGTATAGCTCAAGTAACTGGACCGAGGTCCCACTGCAGGGTTCACCCATTTGAACCTAGCTGTAGAATAGCCAATTGGGCCGAATGGAACTGCATCCGTTAATATACAAGGCATTCCCTTCCTCGTCGCAACGGTTAGAAGAAAATCTTGGTGCTACTACACTGAGATTGTCGAGTGGTTCACTGAGGGATAGATTTCCGTGGGCTGTTTATGAATTTCAGGTCCGCTTCAGGAGAACTCCATGTACCAAAAACTCCGTTCATCAGTGTACAAGGCATGCGTTGTCCACATTTCAAGTGTATGATGTTTTGTCACAAATTTTCGAGCGTGTCTTTCCATTACCGACAGCACCCCCTCCTTAATTGTATTGAAAAACGCGCAGCTCCAGTGCCACTGTCATCTCACAGCCCATGGTGCATCACTGCTCGTATACGGTCGCCCAACGTTAGCAAAATAGCTCGCGTTTTCATAGTCATCCATTCCACCTGAGGCCGTGACCGTATCCAGACGTGTGACCCAAACGCTCACCCCCAGTGCCACTGTTATCTCACAGCCCTTAGTGATTCACTGCTCGTATACGGTCGCCCAACGTTTGCAAAATAGCTCGCGTTTTCATGGTCGTGCATCCCACTTGAGGCCGTGATCGTATCCAGACGTGTGACCGCTACGTGGACGACTGTTCGGGGGATACTGTGGAAATCAGAACAGTGAAGGATAATAGATGCACTAAACGCTGTTCTTTGATAAACTTGCCCATTGGTGTACAAGTGTCCAAAGATGTTCCGAGTTCTAGTGATGGCGTCCCAGAGCAGCATACTGGCAGTAAACCCCTGCCGCTACAGTGGGTGATGCGTGGCCCCAAGCAGACTATTGGTTCGCATTCTGAGGATTGGGATTTTAGAAGAGCGACAGGTAGCCTATTTCTGTCAACATCAAATCAAATGCGAGGCCTAATCGCTCTCACAGAAGTCTCCATTCATGTGCTGAATCATCTGGATTATAGTTGCATACATAAAGTGTGGGAACAGCGTGGCGCTGTTGGGTGTGGGTGCTCTAGTGTAATTACTACGTGCAAAATCACAATCTACTCGGGGAATGACGCCTTAACTTATGTGAACATTGTATAACATATGCGTCACCTCACGAAATTCCTGAATGATGGCCAGCTGATTTGTCACATTATTATTAGTAATGATAGTCTTGATACCAGTAGGACCACGGAACGCTTTAAGGAAGTTCAGCAACAGCAATGAAAGCGGCTACCTTTTATGCTAGACACCCAAGACTTGTTGATATTCCAATCCTATTACAATTCATTACAACCCACACAAAAAACATGAACGACGATTATAGGCCTTACAAGTGGTACCCATTCAGATCACCTGAGAGTGCTGCTGTTGGAAGCCATAAAGACAAAGCGAGTTGACTGGCCGATACTTTTAGACAGAAATCAACCGTGACTCGTTGCGCTGGGCATACCAGAAATCAAGTAAACAATTCTGAAGAGTGCACCAAGCTTGGAGGTTGATGACATCCCCAGCCATCAGGAAATTTTTGAAGTGTCATGTCGCATATTTACAGATAAGCGCTAAGGTACTACTCGAAAACCACGGCCGGGTTACCTCCAACCACTTTCGGTCCAATTAATCCGTTCCTCTATCATATGATTGCGTCTGATCGTGGCATTCCTTACTCGACACTATATTTCCAAACCATCCATACTGAGAAGAGCTTTGCATTCTGAGGGATCAGAGAGCGCTGCAGAGTGGCTTCAGTGTATATATTTTCTTGACGCATATACACATAAGGCGGTTTGCCACGTTACCATCCTTCTCAGGCAATAATTTACTGGAGTCTCTTGCTGGAAAGCAGGCAACTGCTCCTCAAAGTATGTCCGTCGAAGCGTATAGGTGAGAATACCCCAAAATGTGCCACGACCTGAGGACACACGTCAGTTGGTTGGCATCTGTCTCTAGTAATCACCAGACCACGCACACGGTTGATCACACATTACTGTTTAGTTGATACCTTACTAATACCATTGGTTAGTTGTGGTTACGATGA